TCTGTCTCGTGTGTCATTCCTGTAAGGAATCCCAACACTTTTCCTAATAGTTAACTGTAAACGTGCCTTTGCACTTTTGACTTTATTAAGTAATCATTCCAACTCTTTTCTTTTCTGCTAGTAGTATGATGTCATCTACATATCTTACCGTACATTGTTGACATTCCTTCCTCCAATTTTCTCCCCTTCTTCCTCCAAGTCTAATCCTATTTTATATATAATACATTCAGCATACAATTTAATCAGGGTGATAAAACGTAGCCTTGCCTGACACACTTGTTAATTGGAAATTACATATTCCATTTTTCCGTATCCTTTTCTCATGTTAGCCTCTTGTCCTGAGTGCAGGTTATGTGTCAGCAAAATCAAATGTTGCAAACCCATTTCTTTAACAGTGATCCATAGGTTTTTATGATCTATATCAGGGGTAGGCAACCTAAGGCCCGGGGGCCGGATGCGGCCCCCCGAGGCCTCTGGACCGGCCCCAGGCCAGTCCTGCCACCGCCGCCGCCCGCCATGATGATATTGATTATTGTTGTTATTACTTGTTCTTGGGGTTTTCTTGGCAAAATCTCCACAGGGGTTTTGCCATGGCTTTTCTGGGGCTGAGAGAGTGTGCATGCATATTTTTAAATTTTATTTATTTATTTATTCATTTATTTAGTGCTTCGGCCCCCCAATTGTCTGAGGGACAGCAACCTGGCCCCCGGCTCAAAAAGGTTGCCTACCCCTGATCTATATAATCAAAGGTTTTGCTGTACCCTAAAGCATCAGATGGTTTTTTGCTGAAATTATTTGGTGTGCTCCATTATCCTGTTGGAGTTCACAACCTTGCCATGTCTATGCTCTCTGGTAGTTAGACTGCATGCTATTTTCTACTAGTTTAGGCACTGCATGTTTATGTTTGTGTTTGTTTGTTCACATCCACTCTTTTCCTGCATCAGGTAACCTTCCTTTATTCTATGAGGACTCATCTGTTCCCACATCTCTCTCTCCATCCCCCTGCTTGTCTTTTATGAAGCATATGTTGTAAGAGCTCTCTCTGAGTGAGATGTTCCAGCTTTCCTGGCACTATGTAGTACTTGTTCTTTTCTTACTTGCCTCAAGAAGATGAACCTGCATTTATCCTGCACAAGTATTTGTGACTAAAATAACTTTTAAATACCTTCCAAAGAGGACTAAGGACCAGAACAAATTGGTGGCTTCAAGCTGCCCCGCCAAAGCTGCCCTGGGACCACAGCAAACACATGCCACCATCCCAAAGGCACTCTTTACTGCCGGTTCAAATGGGAACAGAAAAGATCTACTCCTATTTTGGTTGTTTTTAGGCTGCCTTAGGCGGCCCTGGTGCAATTTCCAGGCATCTGGGCACATGTGGCATCAAAACATCATGCCCCCAGAGCATCTTGAAGCCTCCCTCATCTGGTTAGTTGAGCGGCTTCTGGGCATCTTGGGGGCATGTGGCGTCAAAATGCTACGCCCACAAGCCAGCTTCTCTAGCTACTCTGTCCCAGCCCTAAATTTGATATTCTGGGCTGGGCTGGGCTGGGCTGGGCTGGTGAGTTGCTCAACTTCTGTCTGGTGTATCAGTTGCTCTACTTTAGTGATCCACCACAATCCAACATATGTTTGCAATATGCTCACTAGTGCTTCTTCCTTTTCTTAACCCAGCTTTGATATCTGGAAAATTCTCCCTTCATATATGGCAAAAGTCTTTGTTGTAGAATTTTGAACATCATATTGCTTACATGAGAAATTAATGCAACAGTCCTGTGGTTACTTTAGTCCCCTTTCTTGTGGACTGGAATGTATATTGTCTCCAGCCTGTGGGACTGAAATTTTCCACATTTATTGACAGATTTTAGTTAGACCATCCCACCCCGTAGGATACCAAAATCCATGGATGCTCAAGTCTCATTATATACAATGTGGTAATAGAAGTGTGTAAAATATAAAATAAAATATTTGTTGTTGCTGACCACCCTCAAGTCAATCTCGACCCATGTGGATGAGACAGGACTCCTTGTCCTCCATTGTTCTGTTAAGTTTCTGCAAAGTCATGCCCATGACCTCTTTAATAGGGTCCATCCACCTAGCATGCAGTCTTCCTCTCTTTCTACTTGCCTCCACCTTTCCTAGCATTATTGGTTTTTTTTTCCAATGAATTGTGCCTTATGATGTGCCCAAAGTATGACAGCCACAGTTTTGTCATTTTGGCTTCCAGGGAGACTTCTGACTTGATCTGCTCTAGAACCCACTTGTTTGTCTTTTTGGCTGTCCACAGATCTTAGATAAAATAAAATAAATATATAAAATGCCAAAACTATAGCATATAAAATGCCAAAACCATGGCACCATGGATATGGAGGGCCAACTGTAATTACGGTATCTAGTGATTTAAACAGAGCCAGTCAAAAATATTTTGCTGCTTAAGAAAAAAGACAAGGTTTTTTGGCATGTACAGAGGGGGCACGTAGATGCAAGAGATGTCTATATGCTACATCTTTTGTATGCCCACTCTTTTCATTGTCCAGAGATATGAATAAATGAGAGAATGCAAGGCACTGTGTCACAGATGTATCCTAGAATTATGGTTCAGCATAGGATACCCATTCACTGATTGCATTCAGACACCAAACCATGGTTTAGCATTAAGAGAACAAGCCTATTCTTCCCTCAAGTTCACATGATCCCCTTTCTTCTTCTGATGTAGAGAGAGAACTGCCTTTCTGATGGAGTACATACATGAAGGAGTGCCTCTCTCTCATACATCCAGCAATTTAATATGTCATTTGAAGCCTGCTATGCAGTTAATGTGAACCATGGTTTGAAACTGGCTTTTTTTCATTGAACAAGGGCTACTTGGCCACACTGTAGAAAACCTGTGGTTTGTAGTTTGTTGTGACATCAGAAAGATTAAGAATCATTATTGTTTTTTCCAGTGAGTCGTGCCTTCTCATGATGTTACCAAAGTACAACAGCTTCAGTTTTGTCGTTTTGGTTTCTAGGGAGATTTCTGACTTGATCTGTTCTAGGACCCATTTGTTTATCCTTTTGGTTGTCCATGGAATCCTTGGCATTTTTTTCCAGCACTACATCTCAAATGAATTAATTTCTTTTCCCTATCCACTTCCTTAACTGTTCAGACATTGCATCCATACATGATAATAGGGAATACAATGGCTTGTATGATACTAACTTTCGTGTTCAGTTGTATATCTTTGCTCTTTAGGATCTTTTCTAATTCTTTCATTCAATCTTAAATCGTCATAGATACACTCATAGATACCACTGAAAGAAATACTTGCCTTATGAACTCTCTCAGGAGCAAATCCTACATTCCTCTTCATCATGAAGAGCAAAGTTGAGGTGAACTGGTTCTGTCCACGTTGGGACATTAAATCCCAGCCCTTCAGATTTTTTTATAGGCTGCAATTGCTCTGATACCTCACAATTGACTATAGTAGCTGGGCTGTTGGGAACCGTAAGCTAGGAATATCTGGATATGCATCTGTCATGATGGGAAATTTGAGGGGATATAGTAATATAATAATAGGTTGATATAGTGGTGTGGTAATGTTTCAAAATTGTAGAACAGAAGTAGTGGGTTATGGTAAAACAGTGCTATGGTTACCTAAAGAGGAGCGCAGAATGAGGGAGGCAAGCAGCAGAGGGGAATTGTAATCCGAAAAATCGGGAAGCAGATGGGAAAGCAGAAAAGGGCTGGGGATTTATGATTGTTTACTTCCTAAGTTAGGCTTTGATGTGAAGCAAGATAGCATCTTCCCTTCCTGAGGTAGTTGTGGGGAGATGAAAATTGGGGAAAAGCTGAAACTTTTTAAAATAAACTCTTTGATGTAGGGTCAAAGAGCACTGACCACTGGCTTGGGAAAGGGGGGCTGGAAGGAAGGACTATAAGGGATGGATCACTCTGGGGGGGGGGAAAGTAGATTTGACTCTAACTGTCTGGGGCACTTCATTGTCTTAGAATCCAGTATAAAGCAATAATTAATTTTCACTACTATGCTGTCCTGGTTCTTCAAGTCGCAATCCTCTAAACATGACACAGTCACAGTTACCCACCTATATTCTACA